TCCCTAGTAAAAAATCGGGCAACATTAATATAAATTAAAATTCCTAAATAAAAAATCAGGCAATACAAATATAAATTAAAGTTCTTAAATTAAAAAAAATCGGGCAATATTAATATAAATTATTCAGTCAGTCATCCATTGATGGGAGACATCTCCCGTCACTCAGGGTGCAGTCGCACCTCCACAGATCTCCAGTATCAGCTCTTGATACTGGTAATGGCTCAAAAGGGTCACCACTTACGGGCTATTCATGCCCGTGCCACCTTTTGGGTGGCTTAATCTTCATCAATCAAATCAATCAGTCATCCATTCGAGTCAGGAAGAGCACAAGGAAAGGATCACATGTGGAACCTAAGATGACATTCTTCAATAGTTTATCCTCATACGGTGTTGCCCATGCAGCGACCGACTTTTATGACACATTTACCAATTTAAACATTCTGTGAAGCCCAAAACTATATATATATTTTTTTCTAACATTAAATATTAATGTATATGATAATTTTGTGAATAGTTTAGGTCGAGGATAAGTTAAGTATTCTGGTTGTATTAGGATTTAGTTGTATTTGCAGTTGGGGGAGGAATCATTTCGTCCCGTCCTCAGGTTAGGCTCGTCAAATATTTGAAGAATCTGATAGGATGAATCTTCCATACGGTATAATCAGAGTTTTCTGAAATGTAAAATTAGTATTACTTATATTGTGGGGTTTATGTACAGTTAGGACTAGGTTAGGTTAGTTAAGGTGTTTTGGTAACGTTGATTTTGCAATCTGCCCTCAGGCCAGGCTCGTTAAAGCAGCAGCCGTCCCTCTCAAGATATAGTCATCAATTTTTAACGGTGTATTAAAAATGTTTGTTCTCATATGTATGTTAATATTATTATATTAATAATATATTAAGTGTTAGGTTAGGTGTTTAGGTTCTGTTGGCGATTATTTGTGTTTGGGATACGTGGGTAAAGCATTTACAGAGGTACCATTTGAATAGAGGTCATCAGAGAAGCATTGTTCGAGAAATGTTTAATCGTTATCAATCGTGTGTACCTTACCTTGAGGTTACCTTGAGGTGCTTTCGGGGCTTAGCGTCCCCGCGGCCCGCTCGTCGACCAGGCCTCCTGTAAGCCGTTTTTTATTCATAAACAGGGGGTTTGATGGCTGTATTAACGAGCATTTGGACTTGTTGTTGAGGACGGGCTGTGCGTTAGTGAGTGAATGTTTACACTACAAGTTGAAGGTGAATGAAGCACGTGTCGAATCTTGGCCTCGAACATGGCCAGGTGGACTGACAGAAAGTCCAAATACTGACTTTTGTAAAGTTTTAGTAGTCGGTATTTGACTTACACATTGTGATCCTCACAAACTATTGATGTGATGATGTGCTGAGGATTTACACAGGTGTGATTCGAACAGAGGTCGTCAGCGAAGCACTGTTCGAACGTCTTCAGTTGTGAGTCGTGTTTAAATCGTTTTTCATTCCCCCAACAGGGCGTTTGGCGGCTGGATTAAACCAAGCATACCCGACCACTGGATGGAATGGACTTTGTCTGAGGTTGGTTACTAGTTCTTCACTGTTCTGTCCGGTCCCCTAGTCCTGTCCCCCTGTCCGGCCCGTCCCTGTCCCTTCCTTAAGCTATATAGGCATACTAGGCTTAGATCTTTCTCCTGTTGACCAGACCACACACTAGAAAGTGAAGGGACGACGACGTTTCGGTCCGTCCTGGACTTTTCTCAAGTCGATTCTTTCTCCTGATCATTACCTTGCCTCGCACGCTGTACCTATAAGCATAAGTTTAGATTTAGGAAAGACTTGGGTAAATACTGGTTCGGTAACAGGGTTGTTGATTTGTGGAACCAATTAGCGCGTAACGTGGTGGAGGTGGGGTCCCTCGATTGTTTCAAACGTGGGTTGGACATGTATTTGAGTGGGATTGGGTCGTTATAAATAGGAACTGCCTCGTATGGGCCAATAAGCCCTCTGCAGTTACTTTTATTCTTATGTTCTTATAAGCTCTCTTTTGCCATAAACGTCTGATCTTCACGGCTAACAGTGGAAGGTTTGTAGAATTTTGACACACACACACACACACCGTGTTACTGACAAAACGAATTGTTAATAATAGCGAGGATATAAAATAAAATAGTATACCATATAATCCCATTTATATTTTGCGTTTTCTTTCTAGCGATCATTAAAATGAGAAAATGGTGAGATATTAACGCAGGTTAACTTGCCTCTTAATTATTAAATATACCAAATACAATACATACAATACAATACAATTTTATTTAGGTAAGGTACATACATACAATAAATATTTACAAGGATTGTTTGACTTATAGGTAGAGCTAGTACATACAATGCCTAAAGCCACTATTACGCAAAGCGTTTCGGGCATGATAAACTTAAATGACAAGCTTAATACTAATTGAGCATAATCAATTAGAAATAAAGGGAAAATATATAAGGGAAATTTTGTGTGTGCAAATAGCAATTGTAAATACAAATTTTACAACGCGTGACTGTGTGTAAAAATCCCACAATGTTACTACTGACTAGAGCTTTCTCTGGAGGTTTAACACACTAAGAGTTATTAGTAGTATTATTGTGGCCAGAATTATAAAGTTATGACAGACACATTAGAAATATAAATTGAATGCCAACTTGTATAGGAATATCTGGTAATGATAATGCAGTTGAAACTGCAACAATGTCAACTAAAAGGAGAAATGTAAACACAAATGTAAATGAGTCAAGTATTTGTTTACATTCATTTGTAAACACAAATGAGTGTAAACAAATACTCGAATTGATCTACGAGCCACCACACCATAGTGGCCTTCATTAGGATGTATGTCAGTTGGATTTGTTAAGATGAGATGTTTATTCAGGTAAAGGTACAAACATTGAAAATGAGTTACAAACATAAAGTTGGATGTGTAGATAGAGCTAGTCACAATCGACTTGAGAATGGTCCAGGACGGACCGAAACGTCGTCGTCCCTTCACTTTCCAGTATGTGGTTTGGTCAACACATTTCAGCCACGTTATTGTGACAACTCGTCTGCATAGAGCTAGTACATACAATGCCTCAAGCCACTAATACGCACAGCCTTTCGGGCAAGTTGTGGAGGAAACAAACTTAGCCAATCGGATTTCTATATAGGATTCTGCTGATCTTATTAGATGATCCAGAGACATCTAGTTCTTCTTGTGGAGCTAGACGTCTTCTATAGGAGCCCTATAAACTCCTGGAACATAATCTAACATAATTAGCAGTCTCCGTGGTGTAGTGGTAAGACACTCGCCTGGCGTTCCGCGAGCGCTATGTCATGGGTTCGTATCCTGGCCGGGGAGGATTTACTGGGCGCAATTCCTTAACTGTAGCCTCTGTTTAACGCAACAGTAAAATGTGTACTTGGATGAAAAAACGATTCTTCGCGGCAGGGGATCGTATTCCAGGGACCTGCCCGAAACGCTACGCGTACTAGTGGCTGTACAAGAATGTAACAACTCTTGTATATATCTCAAAAAAAAAAAAAAAAAAAAAAAAAAAATAACACGGTGATGTGCAAATCAGGCTACACATTAGATTTAACAATGTAAAAAGAAGATTGTAAAGCTAGATTTAACAATGTAAAAGAAGAATGTAAAGCACATTGAGTGTAACATTACTGAAGCAAAGGGTAACTCCGTCGGCTCTTTATGATACTAGCACGAGTAATTAAGACCTTCCATTGAGCCAGTGAGTCTCCATGCAGGCCCGGGCTGGACTAGTCCAGAAGAGAACATTATCGCCATGATAACTAGTAGGTGTCGCCATGGTAACCACTAGGTGTCGCGCCATGGTAATAGGTGATATCATTCTACGTGAGAAAATTGATTGATAAAGATTAAACCACTCAACCAGTGGCACGGGCATTAATACCCCGTCGGTGGAGACTCTTTGGAGTCATTACCAGTATGGGTAATGTCAAGATGAGATTATTGGGGGGGGGGGAATAGTACTGTTCAGCTCGTGATATTGACACACTGTCCCGTTTTCTGTTTTGGGTCCTCTGGTAGGTTAGGATAAGGGCATTTTAGTACGACAGTTTCTTGACGTTGGGAAACTTTAGAACGACGGGCTGGTTAATAGTACTGAGGAGTTAATGATGAAATTAATTAAAAAGTTTATTCAGTCAGTAGTATAAAGTGTAATTACACATAAATAAATTTGACAAAGAGTGTTTAATCACTAGCAACAGAGTTGTTAGTGGTGTGTCGAGGGTGAACTGCCACTCTGGATGGAACGTACAAAAATGAACTGTTGCACCCAACAAAATTAGTTGTGTATAATTGGAATACTTCAAAGTTCAGACCAAAAACGAACAGTAACTATAACCCTAACCTGTCCAAAGTATATATATATATATATATATATATATATATATATATATATATATATATATATATATATATATATATATATATATGTATATATATATATATATAAAAGTTTGTGAGGGTACCACCTCTTGTGAGGGTACCACCTCTGGTGCCAATGTGGGGACCCATAGCCTCGGAGAAGAAAATAAAAAGTATTCAGAGGAGACCTTGTGGTTTCTCACTGAACAAATACAAAGTACTTTTTCAGTACGTTGTACTGAAAAATACTTTTTTTCAGTACAACAGTCCTCTTTTGTACGTTCCGCCATTTAGCTATATATATGCTAGCATATTTTTAATGACAAGTTGTAATATAGAGTACACTAAGGCAATAAAACTTGCCAGTTAAGTACTTTTAAGTTCGTTTATGGGACAGATAACTATGATAAGTTTTATGATAGCAAATTTGATTCCTGTAGTGTATTTTACAGTTTAATGTTTCACACGGGGGAAAAATGTCGTTGCTTTTGTAATGTGTTATAATTCATGAATACCTGCCATTTTCTCATTGTATTAAGCGAATTTTTGTTAACACGATAAGGGTATAAGAACTGTAAACAGTTTAAACTATCTACGTCATCGCTTCTTTTTTTTTTTTTACAAAGCCTACGTAATCTATCTTAGGTTAGGATACTTGGATATCTTACTTGGAGAAAATGAAAGCTATCATTTTGTTCTATATATAGTGTATGCGAGTTGTACGACTTCAGAATTTTAATGGTAGTAAAGGATTTAGGTTCTTCTGATCAGTACAGTAATGACCATGAATCAACCTAACAGGCATTCGAACTATGGCTGTTGGAAAACAAACTAATCGATTATTACAAGTTCCAACATTTGAAAAGAATAATCTTTAAAGATGTTAATAATAATAATGTTGGACAGTGAACGCAGGCCAAAGCTTACAGTAGACCTGTTCTTGCGACAGTGTTTACAAACACCGTCAAACTCTGTTTACAACATCACACTTCGACATTTCCACCTGGATAGAGAATTTTGGCGCCAGACACGGTTAAGTGGAACCTTCAAATTCAAATTTTTCAAATTCAAATTCTTTATTCGGGAAAAGTACATACATAGTTGATTTACAAACATAAAGTTGGATTTATAGATAGAGCTAGTACATACAATACCTAAAGCCACTAATACGCATAGCGTTTCGGGCAATCTGTACCGTTTACTTCCTAGCTCCACCATAACGATCACTGGTGACTGACAAGATCAGAAATAACTATCAAAAGGCGTCAGGCCAGTAATACCATGTATAGCAGTCGATTCCCAGGCAGGACAGAAATGGTTGGGCATGTTTCACCTAATGCCACCGTTCACCTAGCAGTAACCTGGGAGTTTGAAAACTGTTGTGGGGAGGTTCACTAATTTGACTGTGGTGAGGAGGACCTCAATACAAGCCTAAAGTATATATATATACGTAGGCTTCTTGTCCCCGACAAAACAATCAAGATCAACAGCTTACAACTAACCTATCTTAAAGAAAAAGTCAACCTCGTTCAGTTCACATTTACTCTTAGATATAAAATAACGAAACAAGACAATGATTGGATTACTTATTGAGGAACTTAATACTGTAGCCAACAGTTCCTTGAAGTCGAGATTACCTGAAGACGAATATTTCACATATTCTTAATTACAGTTCACTGTGGAATGCGGAAAATAATTAAGGCTTATTAACCCAGTATAAGCAAGCCGTGACGGCTATTAAACGCAACAGGACAGCGAACATCTCTATCAATCAAATTAAAACCAAAATAATTCCGTTGTCAGGGACAGGAAGCTTGAGCTGAAGCTTATTGAGGCCCCTCTAGAGCCTAGGAAGCTTTCCCCCCCCCTCCCTATGCAACCTATAACAATTGCCTGGTGGAATTGGCTCGTTTCAAAGGTTCCAAGACACTGCTAGATGAACAGATATATCAGGTGAAAGGATGTACCCGACCTACTGTCCTGTCGAACCCTGGGATCTCCGTTGTGAATCGAGGACGTAGATCACATGCACAGAAATAGACACCTTCGTTAACTTAATAACTAACACGGTCATCACAACAGCAGTTTACACGTTACCCCCGTTGTAGTTCTAGCAAAGTATACATGTGCGAACCATTCACGACCTTGGATACCAAGGATTTGCGACCATAAGTATGCCAAGATGAGAGTATACTAGGTGTAGATAACTGTTTGCTAGTACAGACTTTATCAAATCTCGGCATTCAAATTTTCTCTTCGGCCATAAGTATGTCCATCGTGCACGCAAAACCAACAAGGTTTGCGTCACACACACGAAGAAGGCTTGCGTCATTTTCAGGAGCGAGGCTTGCGTCACAGGAACAATGAGGCTTGCGTCACAGGAACAATGAGGCTTGCGTCACAGGAACAATGAGGCTTGCGTCAACACAGGAACAACGGGTATAGAACCTGCAGCCATCAAACACTACAACACTATTGAACATGAAAATTCCAGCCTATCCTCCTGTTTAGATTACTTAAGAGTAACTGAGAACATATATTACATATGTTGACGTACATATATTGACGTGGTGGACAATTAGAAAGTAGAATTTGGTACTAATGAATTTGGATAAACGAGAAAAGGTTTTATATTTGAAATAAAACCTAACCTAACCTGAAAAGGTTTGATATTTGTTGCAAATAAAACCTAACCTAACCATACTAGGCCTAATACATGCTGAGGTCTAAATAATGAGTGTGTGGAGCTGAAGTAGACATTTCGCCCCGCGTCTCTCTACATCAGCTCTGATATGTCCTAGGGGGGGAGGGGGGTAGAAATAGCCTAAGCTACTCTATCCCTTTGAGATGTATTTCTTTCTTGTCTCAATAAACACACTTGAACTTGATATGTTCTTCATGACGTGTTCTAAGCATCTCTCATAAAACCGAATCCTTCTGCAGCAGTGATTCGGGCTCAGTGGGTGTCAGTGGTATATCCATAGGGTTGAAGCAAGCCTCGTCCTCAATGACGACACCGACCTGGCCGTCTCCATTGACTAGCGAACGATGAGGTATCATGACAGAGTCTTCGTCTTCACTGGTGTAATCTCCTGGGCACACTTGGCAGTCGGGTACTGAGGCAGTGGGTGAAGGAGAGGCGAAACAGTGGCTCTGTTGCTCCGGTTGGCTCTGTTGTTCCGGTTGGCTCTGTTGCTCTGGTGGGCTCTGTTGCTCTGGTGGGCTCTGTTGCTCTGGAGAGTTGCCGTTAACCTCGACCAGTGTCGTCAATGCAATGGTGTTGGGACTGTGGCCCTGGGAGTGATCAATGCCCTTGCCCGTGGTTCTGTAAAGAAGTTTGAAAGTAAACAATTGACATTTGCGATACAAATAATGAAGTGAAGAATTGGACACAGCACGAGGCTTTGACCGGGTATAGCACCATGGACTGCCAGCAAAGCTTCAAGTACCTGGTATCTTGGGCTTTATTCAACACCTAATAATACACTGCCTCAAGAAAGGTTTCTAAGCGCAATCTTTAATGTAGCACAGTGTGAGTCACAAAATGAATGCCTCTTGCTGCAACAAGTCTATTTTAAAGCTTTGCTACATCTCATCCATGAACCTCTAGCTTATGCTTATGACTGCACATTATAACCTTGACATATACAAGAGAGGAAATACGAAACTCAGTATTATAAAACATGTGGTAAAAGTTACCTTGGATTGGCGATAGAGCATTAAACCTATGACTTCCTGCTTATATGAATAAACGCACATCTATATATGAATGTATTCACAATGCTGTATACCGCACACATGCGAGAAGCAATGCAGCGTCAGCATGCCGTCCCTACCTCATGGGAAAAAACTCCAATAAAGAAGGCACAAAGGTTCGTTACAATATAAGCCCCATAATTTGGAGCTCTGAGCCATGAGGATAGACTGTGGGAACTGATCCTCTACGAAGTTTGGAAGAAAGAGAACTGGAGGAGGACATGACCTAGAAGTTAAAGATACATCGGGTTTATAGACTAACAATAGAACTAACTGTGTATGGAAGCATTTTGAAAAGGTGAAACGAATTTCAGGAGTAAGTAGCAGAGGTTAACCTCGGTCATAGTTTTCGAAAGTAGATTGGGTAAGAAATAGTCTCAGCATCAGATGACACGGAAAGGTGGGTCTTGGGAGATGAGGTTCAACCAGGTAAACACAGCTATAACGAACCTGTCAGCATTGGAGGAGCGGGGGCTGAGGCTGCAGGCACTCTGCTGGACTGCTGTGGTCCGCGTGCTGGAGGTGGAGGCCGCCTCACCGCCGCCCACTAAACACCCACCACAACACTGCTCTCGGAGCTGTCAAAAGCCGTCACGTAAGTCACAAAAAATTGTCATGTTATGAACATTAATTTGTTACTGCATTAATAAAGTGTTAGTGCTAAAAATAATAAACATAGTTGGGATCATCGCTGATTATAGTCTCAATCGAGGCAGAAACAGCAACTAGCAGAACTTGCCAGTTTTGTTAAGGTTTGCATGGTTGTAAGTTTGTATGAAGCTGTCTGTACAATACGCTCATGGTTGTATGGGGATGGCTAGAAGGTGCACACTTATTATGTAGCAATAACAGCAGCATAGACACCATTGTCCTTTGCACCCACGCCTGGGTAGCCTGCAAGAGCCTACAGCAACTGCACGATGATGAACTGACCTTGAGTAGTGTGCCTCTCTTGCAGACGAAGACCAGGAAGATGGTGAAGCCCTGAAGAGCGTTGATGATGTCAGTCAGGATCCTGTGGGAGATGAAGCACTCGGTGAACAGTGACTAGTTGCACCTAGTGCAACTTGTCTAAAATCTGATGAACTGTGACTGCTATAGAATGTGGTGAACCACACGATCTCAATACACTAGCCTACTCCAGTGAACCCTGACTAGTTCAAGAATCTGATGAGGTGCAACTTGTCTAGAACCTTCTTAAGTCTGATTATACTAAGACACAATTGATTAACACTTGAAGGGCCCTAAGTATTCCAGAACCTGGTTAACTTTTGCTAGTCCAGTTCTTGAATTTATATAAATCTAAAGCTTAAAGATCCAAAAACTAGGAACAGTGTTTAGTCTAGAACAAGCTGAGCTAATTAAAGACCCCGTAACAATAACTAGTCCAAAATCTGGTTAACTTTAAATGTCCAGTGAGCCCTAACAAACCCAGGTCATAGGAATGGTTGGGTCTGCAGGTCCGGTAACCTCAGGATCTGGTGAGTGCCAGTTGGAAAAAGGAAAGTTTCCCCGGTGTCATAGGCTTATAATGACATTCGACTGTGTCGTAGGCAATGAATGTAGGACGGGTGTGAGGTTCGCCTGTGTTGAGCAAGGTCTGACGAGTGTATTGTGTGTTGAGTGCAGGTCTGGGGTGTAGTGAGTGTATCAGGGGTATGTGGCGAGTGACTTACCAGGCGCCACAGGACCCCTCCTGATAAGAGATGACGTCGGCAAGCCAGGTGACCCCCATAACCAGGAAAAGCTTCGCGTACAGCCACAACCTGTAAAGAGTTCAAGTGCTAAAAATTATGAGGCGAAACAATTAAGTTCAGAGAAAACTTTTCAATACACATAACGTTTCGCATCTAATGAACTTATCAGTTTTGGATTTAATTGAACCTCCTTACAGGCAAAATATATCCAATAAAGTTGCTTTCGTCTCCGGAATTTCATTAGAAAAGGAATGCATGACCCTGACTCACCTCTTGTGGTTCTGCTCACTGGTACGAACATGACTCACCTCCCATGGTTCCGCTTGCTGGTACGAACATGACTAACCTCTCATGGTTCTGCTCGCTGGTACGAACATGACTAACCTCTCATGGTTCCGCTTGCTGGTACGAACATGACTAACCTCTCATGGTTCCGCTTGCTGGTACGAACATGACTAACCTCTCATGGTTCCACCGGCTGGTATGAACATGACTCACCTCATGGTTCCGCTCGCTGGTACGAACGTGATTTGCCTCTTGTTATTGTGCTCGCTGGTACGAACATGACTTGCCTCTAATGGTTCCGCCCACTGGTACGAACATAACTCACCTCTCGCGGTTCTGTTCGCGAGTGCGCTTCAAGATTGGGTCGTTGTGTGACTTGAGGAGTATGTAGGCCACCAGCAGGAAGAAGGTGGTGTTGGCGAGCACCAGCACTAACACGTAGCCATACAGGTACACCCAGAACGACTTGGGGCCTGCGGCAGCGTCAATAACAGGATTGGCTTTAGAAATTGACATATATATACAGAAACAGTCAAACGAATGCAAAAATATTATAAATATTTATATACTTGATCTACACTAAAGTATAAAACCTACTGTTACTTAATATACACTTTTAAAATACACACTACGCCACTTCCATCCATATATAGACAGGTTTTACTGACTAAACCAGGATTTACTATTATAACTTTCACACTAATGTGTGTCACTCTTTTATACGGTCTAAAGCAGTGGTGTCCAAACTCTCTATGACCACTACCCCATTTTCATATAGCGTCCTTATTAATGGCCTCCTACACTCAATATTTAAAAAAAAATAGCATCGTGTGAGCTCGTTCCACTATAACCTGTACACTGCCTCAACTCATGGTCCCTACATATTGCAAAAAGACCCCCCATGGGGCCTTAGGACTCCCCCTCCCCCCCCCCCAGTTTGGGAACGAGTGGTCTGAAGCTATCGCTTCCTAATGCCTAAATCAATATTTTCATTGATGTAACTCGTGCTGAAAACAGTATATAATATTTGTGGTATAAATCAGTAGACAGAAGCTACAGGTATGGCACCTATGCCTATCTCTCTCAGGCAGAGAGAGCCTGAGGTACCATATGTAAGTACCCTGTCAATGGGACCTACATATGGCAGGTACCATTGACTTTCTCACTCGCAAGCACAGACCAATACAAGCAAGCACCTACTTGTAAACCAACACGTGTCCCTGAAGTTGGGTCGTATAACGTTGTGTTTGGCCGGGAGAGTTTCCACCACGACAGCGACCAGGGTGATGGCCAGCGGGCAGCCCCAGGAGTAGAGACTGTACAGCTTGTATCGCCGACAGATCCACTCTTCGTTTGCAGACGACGTCCGCATCACCCTAACGTCAACACAACCATCTTTTGAATTCATTTTTTTATATAGAAAAACTACCTTGGTTAGTCCCTATCACATCATCATTCATTATTTTATTGTGCATTATTTTGTTATTTTAAACGTCTACGATGCAATCTTATTAATTAAAGGAAGAAGAAAAGATTTGAAAGTCACATACAACAGAAAACTGATGCGTCTACCGCCCACATCTGTTGTTTTTCAATAGGATGCCATTAGGAAAACACGTGCAAAAGCTCACCCAATATGTAAATGATATTTAAATATACACATCAGTTAACTAACGGGTAAATCTGGGCAATCGACGTTCATGCAATAGTGTATGACGTTACTCTACGTTGATTAAACAATCTCCAGCATGTTATGTTATACTGTGAAACAAAATTGAATTACTTTTCCTTTGTAGTTTTATTTGCCAGTTGCTTATGCCTCCACAGTATATAAAATGGCTATTATTTACCACAAACTTTGCTCTTATAACCAGAACAGTGACCAGGATAGTGATATTTGGAAATTTACCTCTTTTTCCAGAAGATTACAGATAGATTTAGTGCTTAATAAACTTGGCATAACTTCTAAAATTTAGGGGTAATATAAATAGTAGTTTCCCCTGGCTCAGTGCACCTCTGAGGGGATTGACACAGCATCAAGACCTTGACGTACGGCTGGAAGGTCACTGGAGACTTTAGAAATACCGGCACTCCTGATGGTTCGCCAAGAAAGTTTTATATAGTTTCCCCTGCTATCTTTGTCTTTTGGAACAGCAGGGACACCAAGGCACACTATTACAGATGGGACTGGCCACAGTAGACAATTCTCTGTGGGGAGGGACAGCGCCCAGTGGGAGGGACTAGTGGACCTCTGTAAGGTGCTGATGCCACAACTGTGCATCAAATTAAATTTTTATGGACCAATGTCACAGCTTTACATAAAGAGTCGGTAGCCTTCAAGTACCTTCAAGACTTCTTCCCTAAGTTATCTGAGGCAAGGATCAAAGCTGATGTCATCCTCGGACCACAGATAAAGAAGTTCCTGGAGTGGAAGGAATTCCCCGAGAAGCTTTATCCGAAACGCCTTGCGTAATATGTGGCTTCATTAGTCTGTGTAACTCCTGTCCCTATAATTGTACATTACTCTTATGTTCTTTGTACACACACATTCTTTTGGTTAAACATTGCTTGATTGATTGAAGCTTACTAAGAAGGTGAAAGCAGTTTGGAACAGCTTTGTTGCAGTGGTTCAGGGTTTCCTGGACAATCGCAAAGGCGAAAACTACGAAGCTGCAGCGTGTAATAGGAATATTTCAAAATATCAGCGTCCTGGTCCCAAAACACAAATTTGTCACAAATTATTTGATGAGAATAATATCCATTTTCTATTTTTTTAAGACATAAGCAATTAACAAAGAACACTTACCCAGCAGGAGCAAGAATTGTGTTAAAGTGTATATTATCAAAGCACACAGGACATAACTTGCACAATGTGCTTTTCGTTCAAGGAAATTATTTTGGTGTGGCTTGTAACCCAAGCCGTGGGTTCATTACTGCTTACTTGAGAGTCCTCCAGATGTCGAAGCACATGACGTTAAGCCAAAAGAAGGCTGCCAGGAAACTCCACAGAAGCACCGAAGCTGCGGAGACACCGTCATCAACCACATGTGAATTACATGAAAAACAAAATTCAATTAAGACAAAATTACTCAAGCTCAAGTGACACTCTAACCACAGGGTGAGTGGCAGTGACACACTCATTAAATGTTGCAAATGAGGGTATAGTATAAGAAGCTGTATGATAGTGTGAGGGTATGATAATACAGAGTTTGGCATGATAAGGAGAACGTTATGACGCTGGACTAGGCTACACAAGATAGCGAGAGAGCCAACGGGGGTGACTAATATTTAACGTCACTCACGTTGCTACTTAAGCAGCTGATTCACACTGTGATAAATTTACACCCGCGGGAAAAATATCAGCCGTAGTTATTCCTGTAACGTTAACTACTGACGTAGGTGATAATGACGGCGGCGCTGAGAGGTAGTTATGTTATGCAGCGTTTACTCCTGCTTTATACGTTTTGTTTCGCTAGATTAAGAATAATTCTTCCAAATAGTTATCAAAACAGTGTATATATATGTATATATACACTGGCTGCCTGTCCCTCGACACAGTGAATTATTATTATAATTGTTATAAACCCATGGAACTGCCTACCCGTCGAAGCCGTAAATGCCATAACACTGCTGAAATTCAAAGTCCAGCTCGATAAAATCATTAGGATAATTAGGGGGGGGAGGGACCTTCGACAAGCTGTCTGCTGTACCCTCACCCCAGGAACCCTCACTGGGTGAACAGACGCATCAGATGTAAGGTAACGTAACCAAACGTCTTACCTGTCCGGGAATTGAACCTAAAACGTAAATCATATCTTATTCTGCTGTAAATTTGCATTCAAGCCACAGCTTTATTTTCTCGAGTTTCTTATTTATGTGTTTAAGGATCTGTTTACTTGTTATTGTATTATATATACTTTACTAGCTGGGGGCCAGATTCATGAAGCAGTTACGCAAGCACTTACGAACCTGTACCTCTTTTCTCAATCATTGGCGACTTTGTTTACAATTATTAAACAGTTAATGAGCTCCGAAGCACCAGGAGACTGTTTATAACAATAACAACAGTTGATTGGCAAGTTTTCATTGTTGTAAACTATTTAATAAATGTAACCAAAGCCGTCAAAGATTGAGGAAAGATGTACACGTTCGTAAGTACTTGCGTAACTGCTTCGTGAATCTGGCCCCTAGGACTCGAGTGACTCTGAAGGCAGCCGGGTCTCTTAATTTGCCACAAACGTACAAAATAAGGGGTTCTAAAAAGCTCGAACCCGAGTCACCCATAGAAAACGTTGATATTTGCGAGCATCTATTTTTCATAGTACCGCCCTTTAGCCTGTGCGTTGGGAGCCCATAGCGTACGAAATGAAACGCAGTATTGGACTGTGGAGAACGGGTAGACATTTCTAATGCATATACGGTGACATTCATTGACTGTGCACTGTGCTTCTTTTGTAGAGAACCCAGCAAAGGTACCATGATACCCTGCAACACATCACTAGGAAGTGCGGCCTTTATGCTCCAAGGAACGTGAATATTGTGACCTTACTTTGTAACAAACTATAATTTTTAAATACAGAAAATGTGGATATAGTTATTATTGGGTTATAATCACGTCCAGGAAAAGGTGACATTGAGTGAAGATTGGTTCAAGAGTTTAGTTCCGTTTAGGCTACTTTCTACAGTTGTGGACACTAATATTTCCCTACTGAACAATAGAAAATATTAGCGTCACTCTTGACAAGAATAGATTCACTCCTAACAAGAATAGACAGGTTCACTCTTAACAAGAATAGATAGCTTCACTATTAACAAGAATAGATAGCTTCACTATTAACAAGAATAGATAGCTTCACTATTAACAAGAATAGATAGCTTCACTATTAACAACAATAGATAGCTTTACTATTAACAAAAATAGATAGCTTCACTATTAACAACAATAGATAGCTTTACTATTAACAAAAATAGATAGCTTCACTATTAACAAGAATAGATAGCTTCACTATTAACAAGAATAGATAGCTTCACTATTAACAAGAATAGATAGCTTCACTATTAACAAGAATAGATAGCTTCACTATTAACAAGAATAGATAGCTTCACTATTAACAAGAATAGATAGCTTCACTATTAACAAGAATAGATAGCTTCACTATTAACAAGAATAGATAGCTTCACTATTAACAAGAATAGATAGCTTCACTATTAACAAGAATAGATAGCTTCACTCTTAGCAAGAATAGATAGCTTCACTATTAACAAGAATAGATAGCTTCACTATTAACAAGAATAGATAGCTTCACTATTAACAAAAATAGATAGCTTCACTCTTAACAAGAATAGATAGCTTCACTATTAACAAGAATAGATAGCTTCACTATTAACAAAAATAGATAGCTTCACTATTAACAAGAATAGATAGCTTCACTATTAACAAGAATAGATAGCTTCACTATTAACAAAAATAGATAGCTTCACTCTTAACAAGAATAGATAGCTTCACTCTTAACAAGAATGGATAGCTTCACTATTAACAAAAATAGATAGCTTCACTATTAACAAGAATAGATAGCTTCACTATTAACAAGAATAGATAGCTTCACTATTAACAAGAATAGATAGCTTCACTATTAACAAGAATAGATAGCTTCACTATTAACAAAAATAGATAGCTTCACTATTAACAAGAATAGATAGCTTCACTATTAACAAGAATAGATAGCTTCACTAATGTTGCCGTGTCTCACCGATGGTTATGCACAGTCCCCCGGGAATCTTGGTCTTGGTGAGGAATATGATGGAGAGCAAGATGTAGGCGAGGAGGAGTGAGGAGACGAGAGAGAGCAGACATCTTCCATGTAGCTTGCTGCGTAGCTCCGGCACGCTGGCGTACGAGGCCAGGGTCACGCTCAGGAACACGCACGACACCAGCAGGAGGCTCGGGTATAGGTAGCTCTTAGCCACTGTGGTACACGTCGTGGGCTGCGGGCTGCTGCCGAAGCAGATCAGCGCCTGAGTGGGAGCTGAACCGTCTGCGAGCCGGAACTTATCCATACAGTATTGGTCTGGTGGATACGGGGTTTGAAAGCCAGACACGTGAAGATATCCATCAACCTGAAGGGTCAGTTCCTCGCCTCCTGAGTCAGAACTTCCGCCTACGAATATATTTTTACAAAGAGGAAAGCCATAAACCAGTTTTAAATCGACGGCTGATGGCCCATTGTCGCTCAAGTCAGAATACACAAATGGTTTCCAAAACTCGCTTTCGTTGACGCCAGGACCGCAACTGGTTCCAATTATTAATTGATATTCTGGACAACATTTGCGGACGCAGGTGTCGTTGCTACACTGCTTCTTGTGGCTGGCGACGAGGTCCTCGTAGCAGACTTTGACAACGTAGCCTTCTCTGTCCGCCTCCACACCCAGGCAGTAGTCCTGCTGTTGTTTGGTATCTTGCGAGTTGGGCGGTAACCATACTAACGATGCATTACCTGACAGGTAGTTAAGATACGATCCATTAGTATTCAGAGGTATCATCGTCATATCTTCAAATCCCTCACATGTTACTTCATAAATATCTCCATTTGTTCCGGCGGACCACTCAACAGGCACCCCGTCTACCATAATTGGCGGTGAAATGACTTGACTAGCGTGGACGATGCAAGAGTTGTTGGTCCCGAGGACGAAGCCTTTTGGGCAGCAACGAGGCACATATGGGGGTGGAAGACAAACATGCGCCTCCCAGGAAGCGGGGTCCCCATTTTCATCCATGGTGTGATCAATACAGTACCATTCATACGGGAGACGTTGCCAGTACAGGACACCAGAATCCAGAAGGGAGAATTGGTGCTCCGAATGACGATTAGAATCGAGAACGACGAGGGCGTGACCCTCCGGGCACTGAGGCTCCCCAGTCACCACTTCTCCAAACTCGACGGTCTGGACGGCAAAAGCATGGCCAGTCGTCGGGTCGTGCACTGCCACCAGAGTTACAGTGTCCACACACTTCCACCCGTCCCAAACCTGGTCACCCAGACACCGACATTTACGCAAAGTTGCGTTGAATACGCGCGTTCTATACACAACACTGCTTGCTGAAGACAGGTCGACGGGGTAGATATCGTCCAGCCCCGGTATGTACTCGTAGTCGAGGGCCTCTGTGTCCCCTGCAGCTGAGGCCGTCAAGCAGAGAAGCGACACTGTTACTGCAGACACGATCACCTCAACCTGCATCGCTGTAGTAAAGCTTAGTATTCTCAATAGATTATTATATAGAGGTTTCAGCGCTCCATACAACACAACGCTCATTAAAAACGGTTTATCAAACGGTTAATCAGTGACCGCGAGGAAGCCAGCACTCCCCCGCTGTTCCACGCTCTCCAAACATCTTGAGCTTAGCTGTGAGCAGCAACACTTATTAATCACGAAATAGTCTGCATCCTTGATACACAACCTGCAACACAGTACATTCCATGAGTACTTTACTGCTGCAAAACAACTGCAGTGAGTGTTATAGAGGTACACACAGCCTGGGTGCCGGGATACACACGGCCACAAAACAGCTTCACACAGCCTGGGTGCCGGGGTACACACGGTCACAAAACAGCTTCACACAGCCTGGGTGCTGGGATACACACGGTCACAAAACAGCTTCACACAGCCTGGGTGCCGGGGTACACACGGCCACAACACATCTACCCACTGGGGTACGTGTGGTAAGGTACACAGAGGCGTCGGGTGCTGGGTACACAGAGCCACAACACAGCAGCACTCAACATACACACTGGAGGTTGCGCTCGTCAGGGCAGTTCCTCTCACACTGCCGCTCCACAGCGCTTCTCAAGGCGAGAGCGACACGTCACAGACGTCGGACCTCCTCCAGCACCGTTGCTCTCTAATCACAGATAATCAGATAACAAGAGATTACCAGATGGAATTTGTGGAAAGATTGGGACGGAAGTAAAGGAATAACTGGGTATTTTAGTGACGCGTTTTGATCAGGGTGGGTACGTAGGAGTGAGTCAGCTGGTGGTGTCCGGAGCTGGCTCGTGTGGGGGAGCAGAAGGTTGTACTGCTGTCAGGCGGGACATCCACACATGAACCTCAAGACGGTTCTGCCACAATGAGTTTGTCTTAATCTTGTAGCCCAAGCTGTAATCTTGCGCAGTAAATAGGTACCTGCAAGTTAGGCAATTGTCTTGGGCTACATCCTGGACAATGTCGGTAGTTGGTCTGGGGGGGGAGGGGCGGGGAAGGGACCTCGACAAGCAAAAGCAAAGGGTCATGGTCCCTAACAACTGAGGGAACCTACACTACATGCCGCTGTATGCAAACTAATTTGATAACTAGTTCATCATTTGTTTTAATTTGTTACTTAGATGAACAGTGCGAACCAGCGCACATTCTGTAACCTTACCCAAGACTAGAAAGTTGAGCATGAAAAGAGCAACAATTATGTCTCAAAAGGAACATCAGCGGCTGTCTGTAATGTAAATAGAATAACATGTTAAAAAACGGCGCCAAATACCGAGGACAGCAGACAACGTGTGTGTGTGGGAGGGTACCAGAGCTGGTGTTTACCATGTCTGTTCACCAGTTTACACATCTCTCTCAGCTTACCAACACGCACTTGTACACCTATTTCTTTACACAACGGTTTACCACATGCTAAAATTATATTTAACAAGAGGACTTTATATTAACAGATGCTTGAATAGCAATTAAGCTGTAGAGCTCACTGGATATATCAGATTTTTGTTAAGACTGTCTGTCAGCCTCGAGCTAGCTTGGGTAAACATGGAGAGTCTTGGCCGGCTCGGCCCGGGAACACCTCAGTGGCGCATCACTGCTCCTCTGCGCATATACAAAAACACACTGATAACTACGAAGGCAGGAAACAATAATAGTAATTGTTCATACTATTAAGTACAAGAGTATGATAAAACAACAATGTTGCTCTCACTATAAGAGCGGGTTCTCTTTCATATTGCAGGAATGTACTAGTCATCATTATTGGCTCAGGTTCCTCTTGTTCTTACCTGTGTGTGCATACTGAAGGTGTCAAACTTCACGTTTGGGTATCCGGCTCAACACTATTTCCAATATCCTGCTACTCTGTCTTATCAACTTCTGAAAGCTGACACCGCTAACAAAATTATATTGATATACATTTGCTTTACTGTAGTCCTCCCCCCCCCCTATATCTTTCAGAATTATTGCTGCATGACTTCTTATTTTTTCTTGAAAACTTGCAGTTTGCATGGAAGGGTTTAACCTCTCCATCACTGCACGAGTACAAATGCTGGAGTCACCATCGCTGTATGTACAGTCAATGATGTCATTACTTAATTTTACCTTCATGTCTATAAAGGGCAATAAACACTGCCATGTCATGGCAGGGGAAAGGGGGAAAGGGGCTTCCCCTTGTCGTGATCTTCAAGCGGATGGCAGGTAAGTGTAGTACAGTAGTCTACATCCTCGACCCACAACCTAAATAAGAACATACTAAATAAACCTCATTTTCAAAGCTGGACTTCATGGCAAGCGCAAATAAAATTTAACAATGGCATAAGAGTAACACTTGGTTACGTATCAAGTAATATATTCCTTTAGTACCCCCTGAACCTTCAATTTAATAAGTCAATATTGACTTATTAAATATGTGCATAGGTGACATACTTAACATAATAGATACCCTTAAAAAGATTCATAGAAAACACCGACCTTACCTAACCTACTTAGTATGTTAAGATAAGCATCTTATTGCTTCGTAATTACAATTATTACCTAACCTATAATAGGTATAGGTTAAGTAATAATTGTAATTACGAAGCAATAAGATGCTTATCTTAAGATACTAACAAGGTTAGGTAAGGTCGGTGTTTTCTATGAATCTTTTTAAGGGTATCTATTATGTTTAGTATATCACCTATGCACGTAGTTAATGAGTCAATATTGACTTTACAAATTTGCGAGAACGGGTTGGAACCTTCACATGCTCCCAATAGCTCAGCTTCCCCTCTCGGTACTGATGCACTTCAGAAGCACGACTTTTGCAGACAATAAAAAATGAATGTTCCTTGTAGAAGTGTTAAAATAAGGTTAATACATCTGTTAAATACTTTTTTATTATCAGATCTTTCAGTTTCATTATACAGTATTACGGCACCTAATATTGAAATACATTAATAAAGGTTAATTTTGGGCCTTTTGACCTAGTATGTATTACAGTCAAGAGGATCTTTAAGATCACCATACATACCTTTTTATTTTCTTATTAATAATCAGTACAAGTTCAAAATTATACTAGTAATTAATGAATACTATCCACAGACTCCAAATACTTATTTTTTATAAATATCTTTAGTTCATAAATACCCACCAAAATATTACAATTACAGTATGTTAGAGCAAATCTGTAGCACACCATAATAAACATAAATGAACTATAGTAATGCAAGATGGTAACACCTTATATCATGTACAGGTATGTTCCATATATGCATCTATACCCGACTGAACACCAGGGATGCTGATAAATTACCAAACAAGAATAACATGCCACACGTAATACGCAGCTGCCACACTCCAAAATATAGTTATTTTCAAACAACTGCTTTAAAATACAGTAAGAAATAAGCTACAAAGATTATAACAAGATGATTACGCAAGAAGCTGCTCAATCTCATATCTTCAGCTATATAGCAAAAATGTATAAACAAAAGCTTACAAACCCAGATTTATCATCAATTTGAGTAACCAAATGAAAACAATTAGTTGCATAAGAAGCTCGTAAAATATCAAGGTCTCTTAATATCAGGTTTTACGGACTTGTAAACAGTGGTAACTGTATACAGTATTCAGTTATGGTACCTTAATCAGTATTCAGTTATGGTACCTTAATCAGTATTCAGTTATGGTACCTTAATCAGTATTCAGTTATGGTACCTTAATCAGTATTCAGTTATGGTACCTTAATCAACACAAATAACAGCTGCATCATATCCCTGCAATCTGTTATATACATAAAGAAGTAACTTTTTTATTTTTGGTAAACTCAATTGAAAAATGTATTAAAATATTTACACATTCAATTATTTAAACCAGATGTAATAAAAATAAATATACCAGAATATATTTTAGTCTTGAATATTACAGTAGCATAAACAAGAAAATTAAATCTGTATAACTTGTACTAAAATGTACACACATTCACATACAGTATTTCTTTCAAAACATTCAGGAAAACCACAAAATCTCATTAGATTAATTTAAAAGCAATACTGCCTTATGACTTGATTATCGCTGATAATGATTTTGTTAATACAAAAAATTAACAGGAACAATGGATGGATATGCAATTTAGACAGCTAGGAAAAGCAAACAGAAGTGAATAGTGAAGACTTCCTAATAGACCAGGAAATCTCTCTCTACCATTCATTTTTTTTTTTTAAGAGGAATGGGAGAGAGTTAAAGGTTGGTGCCCCTTAGTAGGATCAGGTTGTCACTTCACTCATAGCGCAGTGCAAGACCAAGGTGGTATTGACTCAATTGGGCACCCATTCTTAAGTTTAAAGCTGCACCACAAAGTGATATAAATTACCAATGAATAGTGGATTTGAGATTATACACCACAAACTAGCTTAACCTAAATTAGTGGTCACCTCCATGTTTAGACACACTGTCCATCTTCAAAGCATGTTATTGCCCTGTTCATTCCCAAGATGCAACCCTATTTATTAAATGTATCCGAGTGTTAAACTAAATTAAAGGTGACCAAACACTCGGTTATACACTAATGCTGAATGAACCTGACCAGCGTGTGTGTAATGAACCTAACCTCTCCTCCGAGATTATCAAGACTACACGACTACCAGTTCCATACAATCACTACCCAACAGAGTAACACCAATATCAAAGTACACTGTGTAAATTTAAGTAAAAAAAAAAAAAAAAAAAAACAGTACATTCAAACCTTGGTGTTTCTCTACATCATTGCCAGCACTTTGTGCTCTCAACAAACAATCATCCCGCCACTCTACTGTCCAATTTATGTTTGAAATACTTAAATGTAGTTGTAGTGAAGATATGGGGAACTATACTCATGTACATAAACAAAGACACAAGAAATCCCATTTATATGAATCAACTTTGTCTTGCTTCAGTGTCCTGACACACTGGATTTACCATGGTTGCCTAACTTAGTCTAATAGTCTAATAAGTAATACTTATACATGACAGACTGCATGGATTTACCAGGATCTTAAAGGCACATAACTATTTCATGACAATGCCCTTGCGACTATTGTAAATGATACTGTATGAGAACTCTAAATTCTAAATGATACTGTATAAGAATTCAAGAAGAATATAGATGGTTGTGCTCTGAACAACCATTGAGGTTGATAGTTGATACATTTATACTTTCTCATCCATATGTGCAATTATTATTTGAAAACAATCTGGATCTGAAATTTTACAAGCACTTCAAACTTATTTTTATTCCAAAATCCAGTGAAACACATTTCCGTTACACAATTTGATTCAACATCTCATTCAGTGAAAAAATTCAAAACAATTAAAAAAATCATTTCAAAAGTAATTTAAAAACTAAGGAATTAATTGCATTATGAAATAACTATGAAAATAAAACGAATGAAATGAATATGCCAGAACACAATGATGATTAGGACAGAGGCAAAACATTTCTTGGGAGGCATGGGGTAGAAAACTTGCACAATCAAAAAATCTGTTTTATCAAAACAACAAAATTAATTTCAACCATTTTCACACCATAGGATATACAGTGTGTGTGTGTGTGTGTGTGTGTGAAACTAAAACCCTGAGAAAAATAAAGGAAGTACAAGTAAATGCTTCAAGATTTAAGTATAATTGATATACTTGAATTGTATAGTGTTCTATTGCATGTTTTTGTTTAGCACAGACTAAGTGAACATGGAACAGATAAGTGATGAGCATCTTGATGTACACTACAAGTGTGGTATAAATAAGTGCCTATTGACCCATATAACTGACAAGTCTCCTGACATATACACTGCAACCCAGTAGGCACAATATCCAAGAGCCAATTCAACACCGAATAATGTTAAATTAACGTCGAGCCGACACCACTCTTGGATATTGTGCCCACTCCTTCGACACATACTTTAGTTTTGTAATAATGAACTCTACAGCATCCCATACTCAAAGACCTGACCTTTTTCGGGATTTGCTTAACAGATCACAGTTCTTTGATTACACAAGTTTCCTAGCCTACCAATGCATTTACCTTAATTAATGCTGTTCATTTTTATAAATTGTGGTGTAACACAGTATTTAGTTTCTAAAAGTTCTGCCCAATTTGGGAGAAGGTTAGTCAAAGTGTGCCTAAAAAAAGCCTTTTCATGTTGGATATTCAAACGGAACATGGTGAGGAATATCAGTAAAATAACAATTCAAAAATAAAATAACATTTATGAACAAAACCTTTCACTGACCTATATGCTAGCCTAAATTAAGAAGGTTCTCAATTCAGAGAACTATTAATTTTTAATAAGAACTAATAATGCCAAGTTGCAGCCGCTTCATCAAGGAACAATGAACAAAACTAGGCACGGACACCCAACCCACACATCTAAAAAGAAAGGAAGTGACAACGTTTCGGTAGACTTTATAATGGCTCAGGACAGACCAGTGTCATCACTTGTTTCCTTTCTCTTCAAATATGAGAGTTGGGTGTCTAGTTTTCAAACATATTATTGAGACGTACAGTCTGCATAGCCACATTGTTTCCCATAAAGACAAATACAGTATATTTTGCCCTCTTTCCAAAAAGTTTTCACTTATGTTTTTTTTTTTAACCTACAAAACCCAGCAAATACTATGCAGTTCTTGGATTATATATAAATTTTGAACTACAGTTACTAAAAAGATATAAATAACATGAACAAATCCACAAGGGCCGTGACGATGGTTCGAACCTACGTCCGAGAGGATCCCAGACCGCTGCCTTAATCGACTGAGCTACAACATGGTAAAAGAATTGCAACTGGGAAATCAACCGTGTAATGAAGGACAAAGAGGTAAAACAGCCTATTGACATAGCTCGAGTGCATAGGAGAATTGCGTAAAACCCTGGTTTGTGTCTCGGAGAGACTGCAGGATCCGTTGATAAATCAGGATGATTTCCCGGTTGCGATTCTTTTACCATGTCGTAGCTCAGTCGATTAAGGCAGCGTCTGGGATCCTCTCGGACGTAGGTTCAAACCCCTCGTCACGGCCCTTGTGGATTTGTTCATTTGATACATCACGCTATTGTGATTTCTGTGTGTAATATAAATAACATCACTCTTTTTTTACTTATACACAACTTGAAGACCACCATACAATCAGATGCAGACAATAAGTTACAATAACATGACAAAATTAAACACCCAACCCACAAATCTGAAGATAAAAGATTTGATGATGTTTCAGTTCGTCCTGGACCATTATCAAGTCCGAACAGAATCAGCGGCAAAATTTATGCAGAGAAAACCGATGAGAGAGATTTTCAGGGAAGAAATAGTCATGCAAAACATGTCAATATACAGGCACACCTGAAGGACAGCCCAAATAAAACAAAAGATAATTTCAATGAAACTTTTGTAGGGAAAAAAATTTGCCATTAATCAAAATTATTAAATGTACCTTTTTGAAGATTTTCATGTGACTAGTAAATAACATTTACAGTAGTTTACCTTTCATTTTGTGAAGTCCAAAAATCAATGTTGATCAGACCACACACTAGAAAGTGAAGGGACGACGACGTTTTGGTCCGTCCTGGACCATTCTGGACCACAATCGACGTGAGAATGGTCCAGGACGGACCGAAACGTTGTCGTCCCTTCATTTTCTAGTGTGTGGTCTGGTCAACATACTTAAGCCACGTTATTGCGACTCATTGCCTCCAAAAATCAATTACAAAAGAATTTTAACAATCTGATGTAAATGGTGCAAGAGGTAACTTTTGAAGGGAAGAGGTAAGATTTCTCTAATGACTGTTAAGAGTTCATGTTTCAGAGCAATGAACATTATTGATGAAATTAAAAAAAAAACTTTATCTAGACTTCACGCACTAAAAGCTAAAATAACTGATACAAACTTGCGCAATTTTATAATCTGTAATAATAGACTTTGGTGCCCCAAATAAAACAGACTATAGGGTACTATTGTTTAGTATTTAACACAATCTCAAACCCATCAATCAACCTCATCAAAGTTATTCGACACTAATGGTTCAGCTTTCTCTTTAACGGGTTTCACAATAATCTCTTCCTCCATGGCTTCAGCGGGAGACTCGTCTGTTAATGCCACAAAGGCTACAGGATCTTCTTCAGCAGGATTATGATTAACAGTGATACTTGTACTGCTATCCTCATCTTCTGCTTTAGTTGATTCTGTAGTTACTGGTTTCAAAGTCACTTTCTTCTCCTCCTTGCTCTCATTCAATGTACCTTTTTGTGACTTCGTATTGTTTTCTGCTTGAGACGCTGTAAAGATTAAAAACAAATTTATTGATTTATGTGGGTGTTTGATGCAAGCACAAAGTGCTAACAACTAAGTGAGAAATACCAAGTCAAGAGTAGATTCTCAACTTGGTGTTTTCTCTACATGCAATTTGTGTGACTGAACTTTCTTACTACTGCTCAAGGTTAAGCAGGATGATGCAAATAAAACTATTCCAAACATTGTGACTCAAGACATGAAGAAGAGGGGGGGTTTCATAAGCCCTCTCGACTGCACTTTGTGTTCCTGGATTAGATCAAGTCCCCATGACACGTCAGGCACCATACATGTGAGGGTTCAGCCTCTCAACCTTCAATCAACTGGAATACATGCTTCTGAACACTTTAGTCTCTATCATACAGTATGTACATTTAAATCTAGTGTCCCCTTGTTCCATCAATGTGTATTTGCTAATTCACTGCCAAGATTTTATGTACATAGGGACAACAGTGGAAACCGCTAGTTGCCAAAGTAACTATCAGATGAATTACACCATCTACTATTAACACAGCACACTGAATTATATGTAAACATGTTTATTATTGAAGTTACTCACCATTTAGGTATTCTCAAGTTATAATTTAATAACAAATACAGCCACCACTCAAAAATATACATATATAATAATCAAATAATTGGGAACCATATGTTTTTCTTACAAGATTATTTACATGGTACAGTAGTAATGATCTTTTTTTAACAAATGTCATCCTCATGATTCTCACCTTTATCTTTGATTCTGAGTTCAGTTAGCTGCTGCTGAAGTGCCCTGCAGAGGTTTTGTAACTGTACATTCTGCTTGGTCTGTGTATCAAGATGCTTCTCTAGCTCGGCTCGCTCTCCCACCATGTTCAACAGAGCCTTGTTTGCACCTTCCCAACGTTCCTTCCAAGTCTTGGTCTCTTTTTCAAGTCTCTTGATTTTCTTCGTCATCTGCAATATGAAAAAAAAATGCAAATATTTTTATTGTTGTACTAAACACTTGAGAAACATTTGCTAGCACTGACTCGAATACTAGAACCAAAACCTGTTTATCGTTTATTTTATAAACTGTGCTTATCAGGGGGATAGTGTGGTGCATAAGTGTCTCTTTGTCACTTGAAGAGAAACTTGGTAATCTCTTATCAGTTATCTCTCATTTTGGTAAACAAGTACATGTATAGTATACATGTATACAGTACTATACTATGTGTGTGTTTAAATCACAAAAATTAACATGTGATGAAAAATGTGAGTGTCAGACCACAAAGGAAGAATGGAAACAAGAATTTCCTTAAGTACTTTCGTATTTAATAATACATCTTCAAAAGGGTGCTAATAATACATACACCCTTTTGAAGATGTATTATTAAATACAAAAGTACTTAAGGAAATTCCTGTTTCAATTCTTCCTTCGTGGTCTGACATTGTCATATATATGTTTTTTTTTTTTCACACACACACACACACACACACGTTATGGCTGAGTGGACAGTACTCTAGGGTTGTAGTCCAAAGGGCTCGGTTTGATCCCCGGCGGAAGCAGAAACAAGTGGAAAGTTTCTTTCACCCTAATGCCACTGTTCACCTACCAGTAAATAAATACTTGGGAGTTAGACAGCTGCTACAGACTGCTTCCTGAGGATGTGTGTATGTGTTAAAGATAAATATATGTAGTACAAATAACAGAAGAAAAATAAAATGGTTAGAAAGGCTAGGTCCAAGAGGTAATAACTCGATTCTGCAGATACAAAATAGTAAATACATACATACATACACACATTATATATGTATGTTACTTGGTAAACTCTCATACAGGTGGGAAGAGTGATCTGCAAGTTCATTGTTCTAGTAAGAGTAATTTGTATTGTACTCTTTAAACAATTATAATCTCAATATATACTCTCAGCTTCAAGAGGCTGAATATCAGGTCATGTACATGTTAATGTATAAACAGTTGTACTTCAGTGAGTGATACCCAGATACCCCTTAGATAGTATGATATTTTAACCCAAGTAAATATGAAAAGCCAGTTTGGCTATATAACACTCTAGTTTACAGCCAACAACATATTAAGTATATTTACAATCAAAGTCCTTACCTCATCCATTTCTTTCTTAAAAGTATTGAAAATCTTGTTTGACTTGTCTAGAGTATTTTGGAAATCTTCATACTTCTCCATATACGAGTTAAGTTGCGTACGGAGGCTTATCTCGTTCATGGACATTTGCTGCGTCTTATGCTGGTAAGAGGCAACTTCCTGTAACAACCAATTAAACAAAATTGCAGGATATGCTAGGACTTGGAAACAATCAAGGAACTGAGCTATTTAATAAATACAAATTATCATCCACAATGTCCCTTGCTCTTTTCACAGTATTTTACCTACAATGACATTTACTTTAAAATAATGATAAGGATGTGACTCCCTAAATTTTCTTATTTATATAACTCAAATTTGAGCAGAATATGACAGAATACAATTATATTAACAGTTAGTTATAACTGTACAGTGCTGACTTAAGCTTTAAGTGCCTGAGTGATTTGGCCCCGATAACCCAAATATCCAGTTCAAGGGGCTTTGGATAACCGAGCTTATACAATACAGTACTGTTATTTACTAATTTGATTTAATTTTGAGCATTTAATTTTGCTCAACAAGATGATCTATGGCTCAGATTAATCAATACAGTACTAAAATTATTACTCATACAAGTATTTCCTTACCTCCAAGAGACCTTTCTTTTCAATAAGCATCTTTTCTTTATCCTCAGTCACCTCAATTTGTTGTTTTGCCATCTTTGCCTCCAACAGTTGGCACTGAAGATCTTTCTGCTGCAGCATTTTATCCACGTGCTGAAAGGTAACACGACACAGAGTGTTGTGATTAAACAATTCATATATCCCAGCAATATACACTGGAGTTGTATGAATGGCTCTCTTAATTAATAAAGAATCTGGATAATATATTATCTATATTAATATTTTTTATATTAAAAATAAGGCACAGAAGCAAACACTTCTTTTCGATCTCTTGGTCGCCTTTTACGGAAATATCATGTTCTCCCCCAGGAAAATTTTGCACTCCGGTCTGGGCCTATAAGAAATATTGCCGGAACAACTGTGGACATTTTCAAGAGGAAACTAGATTTATTCCTCCAAGGAGTGCTGGACCAACTGGGCTGTGGTGGGTATGTGGGCCTGCGGGCCGCTCCAAGCAACAGCCTAGTGGACCAAACTCTCACAAGTCAAGCCTGGCCTCGGGCCGGGCTTGGGGAGTAGAAGAACTCCCAGAACCCCATCAACCAGGTATCAACCAGTGTGATCCCATATCCTGTTAATCTTTTCAAAATACCCCAATACACGGTACCATGTGGAGGTTTAGGACACTGAAAATGTATCAATATTTAACAGCAAAAATTCTAAACAATAATGAGGGCAATTGAGGAATTGTAATTCGCTTCTATGCCACCACCACCATCAGCAAGGATGACTACATAGAACCAGGCAACGAGTCTTCCAGTCCATGGGAATAGTAGGGCCTTGCTTTAAGCATTTGTGTGGTACAGCCAAGAAATAATAATAATAGAAGATAAAATCAGTGGGAAAATTTGGCAAACTGTAGCTAAACAGGGTTTGATTTGTGCAGCAAGACAAGACATATTTTGTGCACACTTCCTTTCACCTGATTCATTCTCTTTCTCTAGCAGTAAATACGTATCTGGAAGTTATGCAAGTGTTATGGGTTTCATGGTGAAGGACAGCAGTAGTTGACCTAGGAGGAAACCTCGATAGGCATAATAGCTTTCCAGTCCCCTACGATAGGAGACTAATGTTTTTTTTTTTTTTCACCAAAACTATTAAATACTATACAGCAAAAAACGTTTAGCCATGTTTCAATTACAGCAAAATTTACTGTTACAAACAGTTGCTTGCTGAAAATATTTTGTTGTAAAATTCTACAATATATAAAAGCATCTCTTACCTTGCTTAAGTACCATTCACATAAGCAATAAGGAACTTAATTACCAGTGAAAACCTCCTTTTACATGACATGTAAACTGTGTTGCCCAACAAAACATATGACAATCAAGAAGCTGAAGAAGAAAAAGATAATTAAGCACCATAATGCTGAAGAAACAATATTGCTTACCGATTCCCTTTCTTCATATTGTTTGATTAGTTCTTGCAGTCGGCCAGCCATGTCTTGGTTCTCGTCTCTTAGTTGCGTGTTTTTGTCAGCATTTTCCTTCATCAAGTTAGATATTTCTGACAAGGTAGTATTGAACTTGGCTGACACTTCCTTCCTCCGTTCTTCTTCTTCTCGTAACCGAGTCAAATTTTCATCCTGTAGAAGACAAACAGGAGGTACTGTACTGTATTAAAGAATAACAACTTTTTCATAAGAAACTGAATTGTCCCTCCTTTTCATAGTGTACAATATTACCTTAAAGTAAACTGAATATTCCATCTATAGTATATAATTTAGAATATACATAATTAAAACAAGATGGGTATAAATGTTCCGAGACATTTTTAAATGATCTAAAGAATGTATCTAATAAACGTAAACATCTTCTCGTCAGATTCCTTAACCCAGAATGTTGCTCAAGCTTCATCGTATGTGGTATCTCAGAAAATGGATGACATACAGTATAGTGAAATAAGGTTATAGATACAGTACAGTCATTGCAATAATGAACAACACTCATCCAGTTCTTATATCGTCCACATTATATAGTATCACAGCTAAACAAGTCATTACACTTCTACAGTCATCCACCGAAGCATCCCACTGTTTCATGTGACCTGGTGTCCTCATGAGCTGCCATGTACAGTACACACAAATACCATACATTCACTCCCTCTTTGCAAAACATTGCCAACCAGCTTTGTCTATCACCATATCCTGTACAGTATACTGTCCACACTTAATATACCCACTTCCTCACTCACTCATCATCATCCTGTCTTTCCTCTCCATCACTTACCCCTCACATTTACTCACTTCACCCTTGTATAATTCACTCAAAATGCCCAAAGTTGAGCAATGCATTTGCAATTTGTCAAATTTTTGAATCCATAACATTTTCATTCTTATTTTATATACGAGTATTCTAACATGGCATGCTTCTAATTTCTCCTGTTCAAATGGGCAGATCTTTTTACGTTCATACTGCAACATTATCTTGCTTCCACACACAGGTCTCAGCACTTGCTCTAACATGCCTTCATGAGACCCCTATGTTGACCAGACCACACACAAAAAATTGAAGAGATGACAACATTTCGGTCTGTCTTGGACCATTCTCAAGCCGATTGTGATTAGACGAACGAGGCAAGTTTCCATCTCACCTCTCTCTTGCCTTCTTAATGCCCTTGCATCCCTCATCTCATCACAATCTGCATGATAATGGTCCAGAACCATTATCGATAATGGACCGAAACGTCGTCGTCTCTTCAATTTCTAGTGTGTGGTTTGGGCAACATTTTTCAGCCATGTTATTGTGACATCATCATCTGCATGAGACCCTATGTCTGTATTTCTTCCAATTTTATTATTTTATAACCCAGACTTTGCCAGCACATACCTTAATAACCTTGTTTTGTCTTTGTAATTCACGACAGAGTGACTCCAATCTCGATTTTGTAAGGATTACTTTGGTGTGTTCCGACTCCATCTGGTCCTTCTCCTTCTGCAACACTTGCAGCTGACGCTCGACAGACTTTACACTACCCTGCACAGACACAAACCATACACTTAGAAATCACATTTGCAGTTACATATAGAATGGAATTATTATACAGTATTTATTTATATCTTAGTATGAATAAATATATGTCTGCATACATTTATACACCTATCTGTACATATATTTTCAAAGTTATACATAATGAACATCACCTTTAACACATCAATATAACTTGGTAGAACAAAAAACAAGATAAAAGTGAAAAACAATGAAAATAAATCAAAAAGATTATTTCCACGCAGCACCTCACCTTGACCTAGATTCACGAAGCCCCATGTATTTCTTCACAAGTAGGTGTGTTATCCTTCGTAATATGCAACAGATCACATTACCTCAGCCCTGAACAAATGCTGTACCTATATGTCAGTCAAATTAGCCTACTCTATATGTGTATATATATATATATATAAAGAAGTACTTGGGAGGCCTTCAAGTCATTTTACCTGCAGGTGCCTATTGTCCTCGGCAAGTTCTGCATATTTGGCCAGTAGCGTTGATACCTGTTGTTCTGCCGGAAGAGCCTTGAGTGCAGCAGAAATGGCTTCAACTCCAGAATCTCTATCTTTTCTCTTTTTGTCCTTCTTTTGCTGTGGAGAAAATCAAATTCTGCAGTTTTCAATTATAAGAGATTCTATCAGTAATCAATATCAAACTTAAGACATAAAGCTTGGCTATTCCTAGGTTCATATAGAATTGACAAGGACATAGATGGTCCATTGAAAAACAAGTTAGGTAAAGTAACTGATAAAGTAATTGGCAGAATTCTAAATAAGTACTCAGTCTATGTATTTCTTGAGAGAAAAACTTGATATTTTACCTACATCTGAACAAATTATGCAAATGATGAAGACAGGTTGAATTACTAAGTTATTAGTTTGGAGGAAATTATTAAACAAATGGAAAAATGAAAGCCTAACAAGTCAACAGGGCAAGACAAAGTACCATGGTCCTCAACTCTTTGGCAAAGGCACTGTAATCCATCTTCAAAACATAGGGACCCAAATCAATTCTATGCAGTGATCATTCCCAATTTATGAAATTAAACACAGTATATACGATTCCCAGCTGACAGAACTTCTCAAGTTTTTCTTTGATATTTAATTATTTAAAAGAAAAGATGTCTGCCAGCAAAAGTAGTCTGGCTCGACCAGGAAGAAAGAAGAAAAAGTACATCACAATACCGTACTGCACTACAGAGTCAGTATCCTCTCAACCATATAATTCATTGTTGTGGGGGTTGCAACCATATAATGAAATCCCACAACAAGCTGACTAACTCCTGGGTACCTGTTTACTGCTAGGTGGACAGGGGCAATAGATGATAGGAAATGCGCCCAACCATTTCTGTCCCGCCTGGAATCTGAACCCAGAATTCTCAATTACGAGTCAAGAACAAATCTGACGGTACTATCATTACTCTTCAAATACTGTACATGTCTTCATACACATGACAGTTCATGCACTGCATTTCAATACAAAATTTACTTTACCTGTCTGTTATGCTTTGTTTCAGCCATGTTTGTTTCTTTCACTTTGATGTGAGATTCTTTGGTCGTTTGTGCAGTGCTATTCAGTGACTGAGCACTATTACCGAAATCACCTGAAGGTACGTCTTTCTCAGAAAGCAAATTATCACACTCTTTAGCTATATTGTCATTGTCTGAGGTACAGTCTTGTTTTGACGTATAATTTCCGTCTTCTAATAGTACTATGCCATTGGCTTCATCACAACCCTCTTCTTTGGACTCGTCAGCACTTGGCTTCGATGCTGCAGGACAATTCCCTTGGTTTGGGATGCCCTTATTTGATACCCGGGTAGTTTCCACACACTGAGAAGTCTCTCCGTCAGGCACTGAAATACAAGAATTGATGATTATTCAGTCATTATTTATTATCTTTATTACATAAGAACTGGGGTGCAGGCGCCTTCTACTGTATTAATAAAAATATATATGCTTCAACAATATAAAGATGACCATTACATTACAAATGCAAACCAAGTTTACAGCATCTAAGAATATTGCCAAAAACCTTAATCTTTAAACTGCAGTGAGAATGGCACTTCTATCGGGTCAGTACAATTACTAAAAACTACCCAAAACATCTTAAAATTATGCATACAGTGGCACCTCGATTAACGAGCGGCTCTATCTACGAGCATTTCGAGTAAACAATCAAGCTACTCACAGAACATTTGTCTCTACTAACGAGCTTTTCCGCTGGTTCTCGGACACCTTTTATGACAGTTTTTTTGTTGTTTCGCAAGACGAGTTTTCCACATGACGAGCTCGGTGCCGGAACAGATTAAACTCGTTAATCGAGGTGCCAATGTAAAAGGACAAAATATAAGTTTTCTTACTATGACATTTGTAATAAAAGTAGAACGTGAATAAGCAAAACTTTACTCAGAAAGAAGCGAATTTTTTAATGAAATAAAGCACAAACAGATGGCGAGTGATGCCAAATGAGTCAACAAGGCACAGATAAACTGCAATGAGATCATGCCCCACCTATTTGACCTATTTCATTACAAAACAAGCTTTTGTCAGGTAAAAAATAAAATTATTCATGCTCTACATTCATTACCAATATTATAACCAGAAAAAGTTTGATTTCTTCCTCATTTACACAAGCCTAAAAATTTCTCAGTAGTTTTTAGTAATACTATGGAACATTTTTGTCCTTCATTCTTAATACAGCATATCAATATTTCTTTCACAAGCAAAAAAAACTACAAAATACAAAACAGAAATACTACTGTAGACTTGCACAATACAGATTTATAAAGACAAGAAGCAGTGAAAATTGCATTGCTCTAAAAATACAGAAATGGACAATCTCTAGGCATTTCATACATAAAAATAAAAAAAAAAGGATTATTCTACAATATATATTAATAAAAGTGGGAAATCCAAAGATACCTGACAATGATTGGAACATGCCGAGAATGTAGGCATGCCATGACAAGGAATATATACAGTATATACAGGATGCAGAAGGAACTATATGGACTTGTACGTAACATCACAGAAAATACATAGACGTATAGACAGAAAAAGCTGTATAATGAGAGAATGATTGCTAGAAAAATAACTTTCGTCCAAACCCCCATATAGCCTGATATCATCCAGACTAAGCATAGTGACTGTGGCATGAACCCGCCGGTGCTGCGGCAGCTCGGTGGTGAGAGACCTAGCGAGCCTGAGCACAAGAGAAGGAAGCCCACCTCAACACCTGCACACACATCACCACAATACTTACTGACTGCAACACTGCTAAACTCTACACGTGTCTCTCTCTCTCTACAGCTACCACCAGACAACTGGCCTCAGTGACGACACATCAACACTACAGCTGGTGTTGTAGGATACAGCTGGTGTTGTAGGCGGCGTGACGAGGGGCCAGACAGCCACGTGGAGGCTGCTGCTGCTGCCAGGGAAGAACACCGCCACACTACCTCCTTCACAGCTATTAATAATAGCTATTTAATAGCTCCACAGCTATTAAAACTTTCCCCGGGGGTAACAATCTGTGACCAGGACGCCGCCGGGGCCGCCGTCAGTGCCTCCTGCTGCCCCTAGTGCCTCCCTCTCGCTGCCCCTCACGCTGTGCAGGCCGCCGCTCGTCTCTCTACCCTCCGCGATCTCTCTCCACTTACGCCAATTCACTTTTCAGTGAAAGATTTTCATTTATGTTTGCTGCGGTGCAAAGCGATGCCCCGACCAAAATAAACGGTGTCCTGGAGTCCGCTGCGACACGGAATGAAAACATCAAACACCCAACCAGAACAGACCACAAGGAAGTGCTGGGTTGTGATTGGCTGACGTTTCATCAGGAAGTAATAAACAATGATAATTTTCATTCTCGTCCCGTTGTCTTAAATATATTTCTTTAATTTTCTAGCTAAGACAGCCATATAAACATATATTAAACACATACATACACACAGATATATATATAATTCAAAGACATAACAGGTAATACCTGAAGAAAAACGTACCATATTAATTTAGTTTGTATACAAATCGATATATAGTAAATACACGAGCTTGGGACGAGAATTTGGATAAATCCGAATTCTGTGAACAAATCCGAATTCAGTATTCTGTTCCCGCTCATATTTGATTTAACTAAGTACAAGAGACACATTTATCTCGCGAGCTGTACTCTATTTTTTCCTTACATCTCATACGTTTCATACCTCTCCGCGTGTAACGCACACGGCTTACACATTTTGAAATAAAGTCAGTAAAACCGACTTAAGAATATGCTAAATAGATGTGTTTTTTGTCGTCTCTCTCGTGTAGCTACCACGTTTTTTCCCCTACATTGCGATAATTCAGAGTAGGGAGGGGGGACGGTTGTCTGCATACGTAATATACATTTAAATTAACCGGTGGCCGTATGAACGAGCATGTAGAGACGTTCCTTACCTTTGAGCGGTGACGGTTGGGCTGGCCTCGTGCCGGCCTGGAGGCCTCAGACACGTGCTTGTATGAATTATGTCGTCCCATAGGTCACTGGCCCTTCTAGTGCCTTAACAAGTTATAAGATATCCAAGTCTATTAAACACTTCCTCTATGAACAGATGATGATATATATATGATAGTGTCAGACCCCGAAAGAAGGATTAAGACAGGAATTTCGTCTTTTTTTTTTTTTGCGTGAATACCGTAGATATCTATGTAATGGTATGACGCATATTAAGTAGTACACTACATAAGGAAATTCCTGTCTAATCCTTATATATATATATATATATATATATATATATATATATATATATATATATATATATATATATATATATATATATATATATATATATATATATATATATATATATATATATATATATATATATATATATATATATATATATATATATGTGTGTGTGTGTGTGTGTGTGGACGATATATATATGTGTGTGGACGATATATATATGTGTGTGGACGATATATATACTATATAGGCCTATATACCTGCCTTACGGTTGCCTGTCACTCTCGTCACACAATTTTCAACGCATTTTATGTTACGAAGTGAGCATTCTGCGGTCATTTGGCCACTTGTATAAATGACGGCTGTGGGAAACGACTGCCCGAATGCTGAGTTGTATATTTATACCTTTGATGTCCTATTAAAATTACTTCTAATTTATTAATGTTACAGTTACAGCACCGCTCCTGTGTCAGGTAAGTCCACTACGGGCTCACCATAGCCCGTGCTACTTACAACTTTTTGTTCCTAGTAGCTGAATCTAAAACAACAACATTATCAATGTGAGATATTTCCATTTACCCCTATCCTACTGTAGATATTTTAGAAGCAAATTTTGTATAATAATATTGGGTGGTTTAAATAAACATGTTTAAAACAAGTTTCTTCAACAAAATTACAACCTTTTTCTTTTCACACAAGATTCCTCCAATCCTATCATGGTAAAAGAGTCCGTTTCAGTTAGATACCAATTCATGTTGGCCTGCGAATGCATGATAGCCAAAGGAGTAGCCTATATATGAGTAGCCAAAGAAAAATAATGGACCAGGAATTTAAAAAAACCTTTGTAGATCGAAGACAAAGTCGTATCTACATTAGCCGTTTTATCTATTGTCTAACATTAAAGAAAAGCAGCATAGGTATTGCTCATCTAATAAAATCAGCATATTCCTATAGATCGCACTAATATATATTAGGAATCTTCATTCCTTCTGAAGATGTATTAATATACGAAAATATTAAGGAAATTCCTGTTTCAATTCTTACTCCGTGGTCTGACACTCACATTCCTATAGATCTACTAATTTATAATATATTATATTATATATATTCCTATAGACCTACTAATTTATATTATATTATATTATATTATATTATATTATATTATATATTCCTGAAGAAATACTAATTTATAAAATATTATATATTCCTATACCTGTAGATCTGATAATCATTAAATCCTATAGATTCCTATAGATAGATCCTATAGATATAGTTTTTATGTCCGAAACGCTTTGTGTAATAGGGGCTTCATATATTGTATAACTCCCGTCCCTATAGCTTGTACATTATTTCTATGTTCTTTGTACACATTCTTTTGAATAGACATTATATTGCATTGTATTGCATCTACTTATAGATCTAAGCTCAGCTTAGATTCTATTAAAAGTATATTTGGAAGTTTGCACTGTGGACCAAATGGTACATAATACTCTTTCACAGGATGGGCAGGACGTGTATAATAATTCCCCACAGGATGGGCAGGACGTGCATAATAATCCCCCACAGGATGGGCAGGACGTGCATAATAATCCCCCACAGGATGGGCAGGACGTGCATAATAATCCCCCACAGGATGGGCAGGACGTGCATAATAATCCCCCACAGGATGGGCAGGACGTGCATAATAATCCCCCACAGGATGGGCAGGACGTGCATAATAATCCCCCACAGGATGGGCAGGACGTGCATAATAATCCCCCACAGGATGGGCAGGACGTGCATAATAATCCCCCACAGGATGGGCAGGACGTGCATAATAATCCCCCACAGGATGGGCAGGACGTGCATAATAATCCCCCGCAGGACGTGCATAATAATCCCCCACGGGATGTGCAGGACGTGCATAATAATCCCCCACAGGATGGGCAGGACGTGCATAATAATCCCTCACAGGATGGGCAGGACGTGCATAATAATCCCCCACAGGATGGGCAGGACGTGCATAATAATCCCCCACAGGATGGGCAGGACGTGCATAATAATCCCTCACAGGATGGGCAGGACGTGCATAATAATCCCTCACAGGATGGGCAGGACGTGCATAATAATCCCCCACAGGATGGGCAGGACGTGCATAATAATCCCTCACAGGATGGGCAGGACGTGCATAATAATCCCTCACAGGATGGGCAGGACGTGCATAATAATCCCTCACAGGATGGGCAGGACGTGCATAATAATCCCCTCACAGGATGGGCATGGGGGGGGGGGTGCATAATAAATGAACTAAACTAATACAAAAAACAAAACTCCGTCCCACGCCTGTTCCAGACCCCAGGGTACCCGACCAGCCCGTGTCTCTCTGTCACTACCCAGTACCAAGATCAGGGGCACAACCCCCTGCTTCTCCAGCCTATTTCTACACCAGCCTATTTTTAAAATAGGCTTTCAAAAGCAAAAAATACCATGAATCTCATAATGGCAATTATAAACAATCTAACTGATCGATGCACATTTCAATGAGTTTTTTGTTTTTGCATGAATACCATAGATATGTGTGTAATGGTATGGCGAATATTTACAAGAAGGGGCCTCGACGAGGACAGTAAGCCGGTGGCTTGTCAAAGATTCCCCCCCCCAACCATTTGCCTTGATCTTTTTCATTTGTGCTTTACAATTTAACAGAGTTTTGGCATATGGTAATCAACCCTGCATGTAACGGCAGGCCAATATCTTCTCTCGCAACTACACTGCTTCAAGAAACTATACCTCTGCCAGAAGAGAAATCACAACAAAATTAAAGGGCAGAAAGCATTAAGGGCAATAATCTGTTTAGAGCTGATGCCTAAACGGAGAGCACAAGACGTCCACCAGACAATATATGTAAGTAATGGCCAGAATGGGGCTATAACATTACCATTATAGATGGCAGGTAACTGTCTGTAGCCTAGTGATTCTTCCAACATTGAGCGCTCTGAAAAAAAAGGAAAAAAAAAAAAAGTTGGGACAAACGATTTAACGTTATTTACCTGAGGGGACAACATCTCCAGTGGCCTCGACGATGACAGGAAGCCGGCGGCTTCTCAAAGGTCCCTCTCCCACCATCCACCTAATTGTTCTAGAGGACATTTTCCAGCTGAATTTTAAACTAAGTAATGTCTTGGCATTTACGGTTTATTCTACTTGTGACTGCTTAAAATTATTTAAAATTTTAGATCAAACGTCATGAGATATCTGGAACGTAGTAATTATTTAAATAACTTACTAATACTTTCTATAAAATAATCACAACATGATAGGCTAACACTAACTCCATATATGCTCACCTCGCATTCCATGTATGACAACCTATCCTATGAGAAGGGTAAAGTAGGTTTTTTTATTTGATTTTTTTATTTATTTATATATACAAGAGTTCTTACATTTTTGTAAAGCCACTAACACGCATAGCGTTTCGGGCAGGTCATTAATCTTAATTTCTCCTGGAATACGACCCGCCAAATCGTTTAACAACCAGGTACCCATTCACTGCTGGGTGAATAGAGCCTACAGTATAGGATTGGCGCCAAGTCAATCCACTTCGACAAGGATACGAACCCAGGCCAAATAGCTCGCGAAGCAGGAGCAAGTGTCTTGCCACTACGCCACGGGGACTGCACATAGCTAGGTTATGCTATATGCAAGGTTATACCAACTATAGCTAGGTTAACCTATCTCTAGTTTTAATTTCTATAGCCTCAGATTTATTAGATTCAGATTCAGATTCAGATGTTTATTCAGGTAAGGTATATACATACAAGTGATGTTACATTAATGGATTGATATATAGATAGAGCTAGTACATACAATGCCTAAAGCCACTATTACGCAATGCGTTTCGGGCAAGAAAAAACATTAATATCTAGAACTTAATACTAATTGAGCATAAAGAATAAAAGATGTTGAGAACAAATACAAATAAAGATAAAAAAAAAGGGGGAACATGACTGAAAAAGCAGCACAAATACAATAGGTTGACAAACAGTGTTGATTAAAAAAAAGAAAAAAAAAAAAAGAA